AAATCAATCAGAGAGATGCTAATCACGGCACGCGCGTTCAGGACACACGACTGAAGGCGACGTCCAGCCCCGGGAGAGCCGGAGATGCTTTGCCGGCCGGAGCATTGCTACCATGCGCCTGTTTGTTTAGTTCCCAAAATTTTTTAAGATTCTTCGTCACATCGAATTTTTTGACGCATACATAAAGTATTAAATATAAATAAAAAATAAAACTAATTACACAGTTTAGACGAAATTCACGAGACGAATCTTTTAAACCTAATTAGACTATGATTGACACTAATTGACAAATAACAACGAAAATGCTACAATACTATTTCCCAAAAAATTTCGCCAAAGAGTTGACGCTGGCTGGCTGGATTTGACAGAAAACCGTGGCTACAAAACTTTGTGGATTCCTGAAACTACTGGCACCTGATCATCATCATGAAACTTTGAATGGTTTTCGTTTTCGCCTAATCATGCTGCTTAGAAGCAGACCGGTGGAAAAGCATGGAACTGACGGAGGAAATTTTGCAACTACTTTCCGTGCAATGAAGGGGAATTGAAGGGAAGGAAGGGGAGGCTCAATGGATTGCCGTAGTCGCAAGCAAATCTTCTGGAAAATTCGGATCGCGAAGCGTCGGAAAATCCATTGCGTTTTCGCATCAATGGCGGAAGCCCAAATCTTCCAAGTCCGTCGTAAATGCGGCGATCACGTGAAGAAAGCTTAGCAGCACGGGGAGGTGGGCCCGCCCGAGACGTTGCCCCGCGGAACCGATCGCCTTCCCGTCGAGTTGGTGTTGCCCCCTCTACGCACAGGAGACGAGTAGACCACCTTGTGGCACTGCTTTTTTTTGTTCATTCACACAGATCTGTTCCTGTAAAGTTAAATTTCTTTTCATGCATATCTTTACACGAAATGGTTACACGATTAGTACTAAGAAATGTGCAAAAAGATAATTTTTGCTCCCCTCCATCACCATTCGTGGAGTTCCAGATGAAATTTGTGTCTAACCTCTCTCTCTTGAAATTGCTATCTCCAAATGTGCAAAAGATAATTTTTCTGCTCCCCCAACCACCATCACCATTCATGGAGTTCCAGATGAAATTTGTGCCGAGAGCCATCTAACCTCTCTTATGGGACAGAGTCGATGCAGAAGTAGTACAAGCCACAAGCCAGGAAATGAGGACGCCATCAGGGTCACATGGGGAGCCGCGCCACCGCACGGGATCACCAGCTTTACGATATGACGGCATCCGGTTCGTCACCCGGCACCCGCGCCAAATGACGCTTCTGCCCCCTTGGGGGTGGGGGGTGTCGCGAGCCGACGCGTCCGCGTCAGGCGTATGGTGGGTGCGGTGGGTCAAGATTCCCCGGGGCCGGACTGCGACTCAACGCGGCCGAGTCGCCCGTTCTTCACGCTAAATTACCAAACTGCCCATCTCTCCAAAATCCCGATTTCCAAACCTGAAAGGAAAGCTTTGTCCATTTCCTACGAAATTCTACTATATATTGATATTGATTCTCCTAGGAACTCGTTAGTTGCGGCACTACTTACTTTTAGGCTGAGAATTTTCCAATTGTATAATTGACGTTGTGATTTGGAAGGTTAGATACATACACATATTTTAATTATATAATTTTGTGAGAAATAAGGGGCAGTCTTAGGGTTTATGGAAGAATGCCTTTTTAGTTTAGAGCAATCCTGTTAAAAAAAAGACCATTTCTATAGGCGACTTAGATTTTTCCAACCGGAAGGTATGCTTCATGACAAGTCTTGTATTGTCGAGTTTGTTTTTAGTATACAAACTTCGATAGTACCATCACTACCATTGGAGTGATTTTCTATCTATTTCAATGTATTATATTATATGCTACTCCACTACTTTTTGAGAAATTTATATGGTTGCATTGGGATATAGCCACATATATGACTGAATCATAAGAAACGTCCGATGCAAGATTTTATATCATCCCATAGTTTTGCGATGGCGACTAATGCACATATGTCCTACCAGTCAAAATCTATAAGATACAGTTGAAATGACCTTTTTTTTTAATCATTCAAGAAGCAAGAGAGCGCATGAATCGACAAGCGCAACATGTAGTCAAGAACACGACATAAACGTTAGGATCAATAGGCAACATAATCTGTTGCTTTTTTTTTCAATTGAGCGGATTCTTTGAGAGGTTGAATTTCTCAACTTATTGTTTTAGGACATTAATAATCTATAATTATTTTATCATCTTGGGATTTGCCAACTCAATTATCTACACTGTAATTTCAAAAAAACTAATTACAATACCACAAGTTTAATTTACCTCCATAGTTACAACACCATACATATATCTGTATAATTATTAGTAGTTGGGACCATCAGGGGTAGTTTGGACATTTAGCTCGGCCCCAAGGTCTGTTTAGGTGGCAGAGAAAGTTGGACTGATTTTGACCGGCATCGAATCACCGGCTGATTATGGATACTCACGGTAGCTATTTTTCTAACGGTGCAGTTGACGGTGTGAGATCTGTAAAGCTAATCTTTGTCTTTTTCAGCTTTGAGGAACTATAGAGGTTGCACCTTGTGGCCTTATACTAACTTAGACGACGGTTGCTTTCAAAATATCTTTAGTTATTAAGCTCTGAAGCCCCTATGTATGTATATTCGATCTATATGCTAAATTTTAAATTAATATAGCTTAACCTATGATAGGATATATTGTCACCACAATGAGTCGTGCAATATCTTATGGTATATACATAGCATGAGGTTTAGGACAAAATTTAACTTTTTTTTCAAAGTGTATTACAATTTTAATAAGATGCACATGATGCATGACTAAGGAACTGTTTGGATCCATTGGCACTAAAAAATAGCAGCTATTAAGTAGTAGCTAGCTATTTTTTAGCTAGCTAATTTTTAATCGGGGCGTTTTAGATCCACCTGCTAATAGGTGGTTAGATAGTTACTTCAAGGTGCATATGAACTATTAACACCTATTAGCAACTCCAAAACAGCTAATAAAATTAGTAGTTAGCGACTCACTAGCTAATACTCTCTCTGTCTGTCCCTGAATAAATAGATTTCTAGCAAGTTTAGTACATATTAGTATGACAAAGAAAAAACCATACTACCTTTCATTAATTGGAGTAGTTGCACACACTTATCGGTAATTATAGCATTTACTACACCATCCAACTGTAGAAACTCAAACCTGGATTAGGGAATTTGGGAGCGGTAATAAATATGAGAGAATTCTGAGGACAATAAATGAGTTGGTGGACCATTGAATCTCCTAGAGATTGATTTATTTGTAGACAAATTTTTGTGGGAGGAATCTATTTATTCAGGGATAGATGGAGTAATTAAAAGGTTTATTAGTATATTTGTTTGGTCCCACTATTACTAATTTTAGCTACTAATTATTAGTGTTAATGAATCCAAATAAGCCCTAACTAATGATGCTAAACTATTTATTTGGAATTTTAAATCAATGGATATAGTTTTGTGGTTTCAAAGTAACCATTATTGAAACCATAATTATGAGTTATCACGTTTGCAAGATTGTAACATAAAGCCACATACTACATGGCACCATTATGATATTTGAGGTCCAATTTATAATGTGTTCTTTTTTTACATTTTTCTATGAAAATGAACTGATTTCTGTGAAAGTTCTAGGGCCCTTACAAATAACCTTCCATGTATCAATAAGCTTCAGCTAAGCGCCAAAAAACTTACAATAAAATTTACATCATCATTTTTAAAGACACCTTTTGTCATGCTCACAATATGCATTGCAGCAAGACATAACAAGTGTTTACAAGATAAAACTTGGCACCAGTTGAACCACCATGTCATTGTAAACTCTTGGGCAACCTCCAAGATTACAAGAGGCCGGTGTTAGTTTTTGTTACATCTACAATTGTCGCCCGTAAGAACATGACAGGATTGACTAAGTTAATGGTTGTGATTGGTAAGCCACTACTGTATTTTCTTAGCTTGATCCTTATCCAATGGTTTGACAGAGACTAATGGTTGTGTTAGATCGTTGGCTATCATATTTATTGGCTTCATCAAATAGTTAGCTTAGTATAGGTCCACCAATTATATATGGGCACTTGTTACCACTTTTCGCCTAAACAGTCGTTTAGTCCGTTTATACACTATTTAAATGCTACACCATGGTATTATGTTTCATTTTTTGTGAGAGTATTATGTTTCATTTAATCGACCATTTATCCCATTTAAATCGCCGTTTTATCCATTTACATGGCCGTTTAGCTTGAAAAATATCTAAACGATAAGTGACTGACTATTTACCGTTTAGCATTTAGTATAACACTGGTTGTTAGAGAAAATCTTATTACTTAGGGTCTCACTTAGAGATATTTTGCTATAACCGTCTTATCCATGAACTCTCATCAACAAACTCAATAAATCAAATGCTATCACTATTTCTTGGTTTCTTGCAAAGCCAAATCTTGTGATATATTTGCATTTTTGCCGTGCCTCACAATTAAAAAAACATCAGGTGCTCTTATGATGGATTATCTTAACTGTTTGTTGCTCTTGATAAGAAAAAAAGTTGAAACCATAGCCTGCAAAAGGATAGAGACAGTGCAGCTTCACTCACGCAAAGTGGCCTGACCGCCGCTTGGGCTAACACGAAATGTGAGGCTGGAGTGGAGTGTGGCCTCCGTTTATCCGCGGCGTCTAATCCAGCATCACCGTCAGGGATTAGCACCCACATGGATAATGGATTCCTCTCTTCCTCTGTCCCCGCGGAAGGCCAACACGGCCCGCCCAAGCCCAGAACTCCTGACGCGACGCAGATATCTTCCCCTCGTGCGCGGGGCCCACCTCCATCACATGGGCCCCACGCCCCCACGCCGAAATCCCCCAGGAAAATAATATTTTAACCAGATTTCGCTTGGTTCCCAGCCCCCCACGTGTGCCGCCCCCGCCACGTCACCGTCCCCCACCTATTACTACATGTAGCGCGCCCCATCACCACCATGCGCTGCCTGCCTCCACTTCCACGCTGCGCTCCCTTCCCTCCCCACCACAAGAACCGCGTCGACACCACCGCTGCCATTGCCGCGGCCAGCCGAGCCTCTCAGCCGCGCCAGCCAGGAGGCGCCAGCTGCTTGCTGTTGACCTCACGTTTGATGGAGCTGCACAAGTACTGGGGAGTGGGGGGCCGGCGGTGCGGCAGCTGCGAGGCGGCCCCGGCGGCGGTCCACTGCCGCACGTGCGTCGGTGGGTCGTTCCTCTGCATGACGTGCGACGCCCGCTCCGCGCACGCGCGCCTGGCCCACGAGCGCGTGTGGATGTGCGAGGTCTGCGAGCTGGCCCCCGCCGCAGTCACGTGCAAGGCCGACGCCGCCGTGCTCTGCGCCGCCTGCGACGCCGACATCCACGACGCCAACCCGCTGGCGCGGCGCCACGCGCGGGTCCCCATCGCGCCCATCGGCTCCGAGGCCGCCGCCACGACCGTGGAGGCCATGCTGTTCAGGACCGGCGAGGCGGCGGCCGCGTCCGAGGCCGACGAGCAGAACAACGCGGCGGCCGAGCAGCATCAGCAGCACGCGCACCACGCGCACGCGCTGAACCTCAACGTGGAGGCCAAGGACATGAAGCTGGACTACCTCTTCTCTGAGCTGGATCCCTACCTCAGCGTCGAGATCCCGCGATTCCAGCACGCCGACAGCGTCGTCCCCAACGGCGCCGGCGCTGCCGCCGTCGAGCTGGACTTCACGTGCGGCATCGGCGTCAAGCACTCCTCCTACAGCTCCTACACGGCCACCTCCCTCGATCTCGCGCATAGCGTAAGCTTCGCCTTCTCTTGCCTTGCCTTTAGACGCACATATAAACACGTCTTGGAATTGAAACTCATGTGGACACCGTCCTGATGAATCTTGCAGGGCTCCTCGTCGGAGGTCGGCGTGGTGCCAGAGGCCTTCGGCGGAGGCGGCGGCGGCGGGAGCTTTGAGCTCGACTTCACAAGGCTCAAGCCTCAAGCCTACATGCCATACACCGCGACTCCCCAGAGCCACAGCGTAGGACCCCAACCAAGCTCCCACCTTTCGGGACGCACACGTGTTCGACGCTCCATGTGCTCGTCCTGACGTGTCGCTGTGAACTCGATCGGTTCCGTATGCAGGTGTCGTCGGTGGACGTGGAGGTGGTGCCGGAGCGGGGAGACTTGCCTGCGGTGAGGCCGGTGCCGCTGATGGGGGAGAGCCGGGAGGCGCGGCTGATGCGGTACCGTGAGAAGAGGAAGAACCGGCGGTTCGAGAAGACCATCCGGTACGCGTCCCGGAAGGCCTACGCCGAGACGCGGCCGCGGATCAAGGGGAGGTTTGCCAAGCGTGCCGACCACGACGGGGACGCCGACGCCGACGACGCTGAGGCCGAGGCCGCCGTGCCGTCGTCGTACGTGCTCCACTTCGGCTACGGCGTCGTGCCGAGCTTTGCATGATCTCTCGATCGGCCCGGCCCCAACGCGCGCGCGCGCATGGCCGGCAGCGGCGCGCGCGCCTTGTACTTGTATCAATGTATAGTGAGGAGTAGTAATCCCATGTACTTTCTTTTTGAGCCAGACCTCGCGTAAACTAGCGACGTATATAATTTGTATACTAGTAAGAAACTGCAGTAGCCGCTACTAATGAATCATGAATCTATCGCACGAGTTGTCGTAAACTTGTGCTAGCTAGTACTTACTGGTACAGGAGTACCGTACCATAAATGCATGATCCAAGCTTGGCCATGCACGCTGTTTCGACCAAGCCCATCTTCAAATGTTTGGCACACAGTCGAGTGTGTATGGTTATGGTCTTGACTGTATGCAAGGAAGTATTTCTCTTCGTTGAATAGTAAGGCGCATATTGATACATGGTGCTACCATCCCTATGCAGACAATTAGGGATGGCAAGTGCGGTCAAGTGAGACCGAAAGCAAAACCTCACTCTCGGTTTAGACACTCAATACAGAAACAAGCGTGGTTTTTATCTATATTAATTATATTGCTATATAGACATTTTGCTTTTGCGAGAAGCGGTTCCTAAACAAGAATAACGTGTATTCACATGAATCGATGCCAGAAGAGCTACAGGCACTGTATTGGGGAGGGTTGCTCGTTTCATCCAATAGTTGGATGGGGAGAGCGGATTGGATGGATGGTGGTGATGGTTGTGGGGAGGGGGGGCTGTTAAGAAAGGGCCCTACACGAAAAAAAAAATCTATGTTGTGAGGTGTGGTTTTCATGGATAACTTCTTAGGCTACGAAAACTATCCAGTAGTTTCTGCGTTGAGAGTAGCATACCTACAAAGGACACTATTGGCGCTTAATTAGGTCACACACTTGATAAGGGGGTAGATCGCTCGATGTAGGACCTAGCCGATTTAGGGATCGGCCAGCACCTAGGGGATGTCCACACCTGACCTTGTGCCTCCAGCGATGAGCGCGATACGCAAGACACGTCGTCGAAAGAGTCTCGCCGGGACCGCGATACACAAGACATGTCGATGAGGTCTCTTGAGACCCGAAACCCTACATGCCCGGGAGGGACCCCGTCGGGGCGTGCGGCGGCTATGGGCTGTTCTAGCCGGTCTGACCACTCTAGAGCTTTGTCGTCGTCGATCCACCGTCCATGCAACGCCAACGAAGAACGAGAAGTAGAGGAGAAGAGAGGGTAAAAGAGAGATAGTAGATTGATTTGTTGTGTTTTTGTATCGATTGGATAGATGGGATCTCAATCGACTATGATCCTCTCATATATATAGAGGGGATGGTCTTATCCCAATAGGAAACCTTTCCAAGCTTTATTTTCCAAGTTTCCCATGAGTTTGGAACAACCCAGATTGGAATCTAAAAGCTAGATCCGAAACAGGCCCGTTGGTAGTACCGGTTCAGGTCGGTAGTAATGACGTTCAGGTCTTCGCCAACCATCAGTAGTACCGGTATGTGTCGGTAGTACCGACGTCTAGGTCTTCGCCAACTATCGGTAGTACCGGTTTGGTTCGGTAGTACCAATACCGAGGCATCTTCTTGAAAACATAACTCTCTTATCCGGACTCCGAATTAAATGTTCTATATATGTTTTTTTACCATGTTGACGAGAGGAACACAACTATGAGGTCCGTTTCTCATTTTGGGAACTTCAAAAAATGGATAATTTTGGTTGTCAACAGACACCTTGTCATCTAACTATGAGATGGAATCAAGATAGATAGGTTTTGCACTCCGACGATTTCAATGTACATGAATTTGAATTGACCATCGATTGATTGGTTCACTTGTCGGTACAATGTACCAAAGTAGTATACATATTTTTCTTAAATACATCTTTTATTTGCTAGTAAAATGACAAAAATACTTGTGTTGATGACTATGTATATGTGGACGAACTAATGATGGTTAAGGATTTCGGAACAAAGAGTCAGTTGGGCAACAAGTCTATGGGCCTGTTTGGTTTCTTCACCGGGTCCTGTGTCGCCTTGTCTAGTTAGGACAACGAGGATGGCAGATGTTCTGATCTTGAGTGATCTTTTCTATGAGCCTGTGCGGGCAAGGTTCAGACGCCAGTTCCCTTGCTAGCACAAGCGAGCCGGCCAGCGAGGCCCTCGTTGCTGGTACCGGCAAGGCGAGCTGACCTGGCCGTGGAACCATGCACGCCCTATATCTGGGCGCCTTGGATACGAGACTGTTTATATTCATCGTGGTTGGAGTTTAACAAGGCATCCAGATGCCTTCAATTTATGCTCACCATGGTTGGTGAATAACAAGACCATGGGGGGATCTATTGGCATCACCACCGAAACAACCCAGTCTTCTAAATGTTGGCTGCTCATTACAACAAACCTCACCTTTCAAAAGTTTTAGAAACAAACTATAAACATAGATAGATAAATTACGTTGCATTTGTAAAATGAATTCAGTGAGTTCAAATATAGGAATGATCTTCTAAAACAATGTCAATGAATGTTAAGGCAACCATTCAGTTTGTTGATGAATAGATAATTTTGTTTCTACTGAAGTTATATTACACTTTGATTGTTATACTGGGAGTTCAATTTTTTGTTACCCATAGCAATGCACAGGTCTTTAGCTAGTGTCTAAAGGGCTTGTCCATTCCATTCGTATTCACTTTTTTGGATTTTGAAATGAATATTTGGGACCTAAAAACTTCAAATGAAAAATATTTCAACTACAAAGTTGTAGATATCATCGAGTACTATAACTTTGATTTTAATCAGTTTACCATCTGAGGTCATTTCAAAATTTTGAATTTCACATTGTGAGAACTTGAAACATAATTTTAGGGCCACAAACGATTTCAAATGAAAAAACCATCAACTACAAACTTCTAGTTCTCATTGAGATCTAAAATTTTGATTTTGGTCGTTTTCCCATGCAAAGTCATTTGTAAAGTTTGAATTTTAAAATGTTAGAAATTCAAACAGAAATTTGAGACTAAATGATTTCTAATGAAAGCATCGAGACTAAAATGTTACAACTTTGCTTCTGGTCGTTTGGACAATTTTAAAAATCTTAAATTTTAAAATATGAGAATTCCGACAGAATCTTGGAACCATAAATGATGTCAAATGAAAAGGTTCAACTACAAAGTTGTAGAGCTTGAGATATAAAGTTTGTCTTTATCCAAATGTCTTCGAAAAATTTTTATTGTCTTGCACTGTTTATCCACACTACAAAACGATAAAAATGTTTGCAGTGCATTTTGTACACTCGGCAAACATCTTTGCCGTTAAAAACACACTCGATTTGGTATATTTCGGCAAACAATCTGCAAACTAAAAAATCGGCAAAACAGAGACACTTTCGGCAACAAACCGCCACGTGTACATCCGCCGATTAGTGTCCCGGCCGTTAGGAGTTTGCCGAGTTCCGTATTGCATTTCGAGGAATTTTTGCTTAGAGTGTTTTTTTTCCACTAAGTCAAATTTGAACTCACTCAAGTTTGCCGATACACTCGGCAAATAAATAATTTTTTTCTCTTGACCTTGAAACTTTTTCTACTATAAAATGTGGTACTCCATGTTAAGATTTGGTATATTCAATCTATTATATTTAATTAATTTATTACATTTCAAGGAAATTTTGAAAAGTCAAATTTGAACATCTTGATTCAAATAATAGAATAAAATGATGAAAATGATATTCATATTATTGAGTCCAGTGTGAGGCCTTACTCGGAAATGAAAAGTTTTCTAAATTCTTGTTCAAAAATCAAACATGTGGTCCGAAAAATTCTCAAAAAAAAGCAAACGAAGTTCGAAAATCATGATTTGTCAAGATCTCATGATATCATACGTGGAGGCTGTGGTAAAAAATTAAGAAGGTTTCGCATAATCATCATGTACGATGTTTACAAACCGAAGTATCTCAGAAGAAGAATAGTAGCATTGAGAAGGATTCGGTAAGATTTGGAGTCAAAGTGACGGTTGAATTGGGGTTTGACTTCAAAACTTTTTGTATAGGCAATAGAGAACATAGATTTATTCATGTGTAATTTTGATAATTTTTTTTGATCCGTTTGATAATTTTAATTTATAAGTGCAATTATAGAATTTTAATTGATATAAATTGAATTTGAGCTATAACTGCATAAAATAATAAGTTTTTTTTCTCTTTTGACCTTGAAACTTTTTCTACTCTCCACATACAATATGTGGTACTTCATAAGAATTTCTATATCTGTTTGCTAATTTAATTAATTTATTGCATTTAAATGGAAATAAGTCAAATTTATAAGTGATTCAAATAATAGAATAAAGACTAGAAAATGATTTTCATGTTATTGAGTACATCAAGGCCTTACAAATAAAAAGAAAACAACATCTTGTTCAGGAAACATGACCATGAACGTGTGGCCGAATAGTTTTTAAATTCTAAAAAAAGCAAACGAAGTCTGAAAATTATGAGATTTATCAAGATCTACTGATATCATACGTGGAGGCTGTGGTAAAAAATTGAGAAGGTTTTGCACAATCTGTTTACAAACCGAAGTATCTCAGAAGAAGAATCGTATCGTTGAGAAGGATTCAGTAAGATTTAGAGTCAAAATAACGGTCGAATTAGGGTTTGATTTCAAAACTTTTTGTATAGGCAATAAAGAACAAAGATTGTTTCATGTGAAATTTTGGTAATTTTTTGGATCTATTTGATAATTTTAATTTATTAAGTGCAATTATAGAATTTTAATTGATATAAATTGAATTTGAGCTATAACTGCATAAAATAATGGAATAATATTTCTATAAAAATCAAATATATATTGTTGAGTGAATTTGAGAAGGTATTTTCAAAGTACATCAGAACAAATCGAGGAAAAACGTATGGAAAATAAGGAAAATAAAAAAAAGGTTGTCGAGTGCCACTGATCTGGGGTTTGCCGAGTGTAAGACCTCGGACACTCGGCAAACCACTTCACGGGGCCCCACACACGCGCAGTAGTT